ATGGAACTTTAACCTGGTACATTTTAAGAGCAGAGGGACTCAAAAAGATTCTGAAAGGAAAGGTTTTTACTGTGTCATGGTGAGCTTATAGTTCATGATCATCAAAAGAAAACTGAAGGTAAGCTTAGGTATCATTTTTAAGAGCAAGATTTGCTCTCAAAAAAAGATTCAAACGTAAGTAATCTAAACCGAACCACACAAGCTTTACTTTAAAAAAGAAATTGTGCATTTTGCTATGAATTACTCTAAAAACATTTCTCACCATCACAGAGATTTAAAGGGTTTTTTATTTTTTAGATTGTAGGTAGAAAATCCTGAAGATCTCAGGAGCATTTTGTTCGAGTTTTCGCTGAAAGCCATTTTGAAACAAGAGCGGGCTGAACCACAACATTAGCTCTACTCATGCAAACTCATTGCTTCAAAAAAAAGTCACATCAACCCAAGAGGGTCGAGCTACACTTATTTTGAACTTGCTATAATTAAAGGAAGATAACGTAAGCAACAACTTAAAATAACACACCAAAGTCTGACCCTTTTCTCCACTTTATACAAGCTTTGTTTTACAAGTACTCCTGACTCAGAAAGTCAAGAATGCACAGCAAGTAAGACAGCGTCTTCTCTGTTCCTGTGACACACACACAGCAAATTAAATACAAAAGACAGAGGTCGGCACCTCTGTGCTGCTCAGTATGAAGGCAAAAAGTACTAATGAGTCAACATAAGCAAATGCTCTCACTTAAATTACTTAAGGAGCTTATTTGCATTTTCACACAGCAAGTTGGGCATGCCCGGGATATCATTTCCTTATTTTTGCTTCCCTAAACATCACAACCTCGGTTATGCTCAGAGGTTATCAGCTCTCTAAATCACTCCAGGTTGCTCTATAAATAGGTCGATCTTGGCAACCGGGACCAAACAAGTTGAGCTGCATACTTCACACATGTGCAGCAGAGTTTCTGCAGCTTTTGCAGGTTAGTTTCAAGGTTTGCATCAGTTGGGTACCTGAACTACTTTCTAGCCTTTCATAAAAAGGGCCTCTGGTGGGATACACCTGTCACCCAGTTTAATTCAGTAAAGCTGCTAAACTGCATCTGAATGAAGAAGAAAGGTGATTTGAGAAACTTTGAATGTTGTATGATTATTTGTGCTGGACAGGGTGGTCTAAGTATTGCAGAAACTGCTAATCTGCTGGTATTTTACTGCACAGTGATCTGTGTGGTTTACAGAGAATACTCTGAAAGGGAAAATATAAAGTGAGCAGCAGTTCTGGTGCCTTGTTGATGTCAGAGGTCAGGGAAGAATGACCAGAGACAATGGTACCTCAAATAAACACTCATTACAGCCAAAGTATGCAGAAGAGCATTTCTGAATTAACAAGGAACCTTGAAGCAGGTTTAATTCAATGTTATTTATATAGCGCCAAAAACAGACAATAAGACATTGGAAAAATGTTGCCTGGTCTGATGAGTCTTGATTTCTGTGGCAAAATTCAAATGGCAGTCAAAAGTTGGTGTTACATGAACATGGATGCACAGATCGATGCATTGTATTAATACTTCCATCTGGTGGTGCTAGTATAATGGCATTAGGCACATTTGGGCCCCAAATGAGCACCATTTAAAAACCACAGCCTGCATCAGTGTTATTCCTGGCCATGACTTGCCTTTTCAAGTCAATTGTATTTTATTTATATAACACCAAATCACAACTACACTTGCCTAAAGGTGCAAGGTGCAGAATAATACACCATGTCACAAAGATCAGGATAATCTCAAGCTGGTTTCTTGAAGATTACAGTGAGTTCATTGCACCCAAGAGGCCTCCAAAGTCACCATATGTGAGAACAGTAGAGCACCTTTGAGATGTAGTGGAACAGGAGATTCACATCATAGATTCATGAAGATTCCAGCATCTTCATGAATCTGTGCCATGAACAATTATCTGTTTTCCTAAACGACAAATTCATCTCATCTGTTGTGTCGGTTAGTAAATTAATTCTTTATACTTGTACATAGATTCAATTTTGAAAAGTGGATAAAGCAGGTGCGTATCACGTTTGGAAACTTTAGTCCAAAACATTTAATCAAAAGTTAGCTAAATTAAAAATACACGACTCACTCCTGAAAATAAAAGCTGTAACAATAGTTTTATCGTGGATACACACACACACAATAAGAAAAGAAATACCTTTGCAGCGGTCTGAGTGCAGCGGTGTCGCTCAAACTGAAAGCGTTTCATGAAGCATGTTTCTAATATGTGTGAGAGTGTGGGCGTGTTCAAAGTCTAAACAGCAACACTTTGTGCATGTGTGTCAGGAAGTCGGTGCAGAGCTGGGTTTCTTTGTTTTGTTTTTTTCGTTGATACAGTGTGAAACGAAGTTTGAAAGGAAGCAAGGAAGACAAGAAAAGACTTTATCTGCACGTTTTAATCATCAAAGAGAAAAATCTTTACAGACTGTGAGAATCACGACACGGTTGTTGAACCATGTCCACTCATTTTCACTGTGTGGAAGAGGACAGGGAGTGGGTGTGTGCTGTTAAAGCACACATATCTATATGTACACATAATATGTCTTAGTTACTTTATTATATCAGGACTGTCCTACTGCACTGGAATCTAAACTACATTTAATCTGTATTATGCCACACAGTGGAACAAGAAAGATAAAAGACCTTCATATTTAAAATTAAAAATATATAAAAGAAGCAGCTGCTCCAACTCCCTTCAGGACCCAGAGTTGAATATGAAGATAACACCGTACGGACACACGAACAGACTGACAGACATCAAAGGGTAGATGGACACTTTGATGGATGCATGGATAGATAGGTAGACAGATGATGCATGCAGGAATCATGGATAGATGTGTAGATGGGTGGATGGATGATGTATACATGTTTGGATGCATGCATGCATGGAAGGATGAATGGATGGATGAACAATGCATACATGGTTGGATACATTGATTACTATGGAGATGCGTGGATGGATATTGTATGGGTAGATGACTGCATGCATGCATGCATGGATGATGGATGTTTGCATGAATGCATGCACAGATGAATGCAGGTCATCTTCATGTTAATATTTTCCTTTCATATCATCACATCCTGAACCTTTTACCATAGGAGGTGTTAAACCCACCAATGAACTATGAATGCTGCTGCTATAAAAGTTGTGTTGTGTGAAGAACAAACGTGTATCTGAACAATAAAAAAAAAAAGGTCTACAGACCTGGCAACAGATTATGTGCTGCATGAAAGCGATCATCTTAGTGTGCACGAGTTGTGGCCTCACTTTAAAAGCTGCTGTATTGCAGCCTTTAGGATTATCTTTACTGCACATCATATAGCAGGAAATGCAACAAAAGAATTTCCCAAACATTTATCTTCACTAATTATCTGAATCATACTGATATCAATCACACAAACCCTTCATAAAGTCAAGATCATCGCTGCAGCAGGAAGAAACGGTGATGGAGCATCTGATCACAAAGTGAAAAAAGCTGGGCTCTCCCTTAGAGACAGAGTGAAGAGTTTGGCCTTTCAAGAGATGGACTCCCTGTGATCCCAGATCAGTACCAGAAAAACGGATAAATGGATCTTGCTTTTTTAATAACAAATACCAAAATCACTAACACCAATCTATTAATAGATTTTTCCTTTATTAGTAGAAACTATGAATATTCCCTTCTGCTACAAAAGTCTCCTGCTGTTCATATGATTCAGTTTTCAATGGAATATGTTTTAGAGACAATACCAAAGTTATTTTTCTTGATTTTTGCTTTACATCTTTGCACTGCTGCCATAATTTTTTACATCCTTTTGTTTCGTAAACTCAGTTTAACAGCTTGTAATGACTTACTTTGTGTATAGTGTGAAAAATAGCTTCCAAAAATGTAAAATATGCATCACAAAAAAATCAAAATATTTTAAATGATAATCACTCTTGCATCACAGTTTTGTTTAGGTAGCATTAGCCCTCTACTCTTATCCTGGTGGCTGCATCACTTTCGCCCCTCTAGCACCTCCAGAATAGCTTTCAAGATGGTTGCCACAGCTACAGCACCAGGGTCTGGCAGGCTGACCAGGTTGGGTGAGATGTAGCTGGCTCTCCCAGCCCTTGCTTTAAGGTCACGAGTTGCCTCCGCTCCTGAAGCAGCTTTCTGTGGAGACCGAAGCAAAAGGAACATTATGTAGAAAAATCTGCTGAGTGAGCAGTGCAACCACATCAACACCAGGTGGCACCATACCTTCACAGCACTTTGCAGTACAGCCATGTGTCCACCAGATGGAGCTGTGGCCAGCTTAATCAGTTCATCAACTGCAGGGCACAAAGCATCCAGCTACAAGGTAAGAGAAACAAAGAAACTTCACTGCTAAAGACACTCTTCATAAATTAGGTCATTCAGATTAAATGAGATTTGGGGGACAAAAATCTTACCATTGTTCTGTCTCCAGGGGCGGCACCACCATATCTGCAAGAAAGTCAACATTTAAGTCCGACCTGGCCATTGCACAGAAATCTGGAGGTTCGGTTGAAAAACAATGAAGACAATTTGCACTTTTCTCTTCCTTGACTTTTATTCTCCTTGAGTTGTGACATACACTAACAGCCCACTTACTCATCTTTGTACTTTTGAGATTACAGAGGAACTAGCAGCAATGCAAAAATGGACTATGACAGCTAGTCATTTGTTCAAGGACCTAACTGTATGCTGCGATAAGCTGGGTCTGAAAAGGAAGAAACTTGCAGTTGTTGTAGACAATGGCTGTCCTAATCTGACAGGGAAGAATACTGGATTTTTGCAGAGGATACAAGATAAAAGTGACTTACATGAATCCAGAACTGAACTTGGTATTTTTGCATTGTGTTATAAACCAGGAGATGTAGTGAAATCCCCTGCTAATATTAACTATGTTCTGAATGTTGTAACTTAAAGCTTCATCAGGCGAAAGACCTGATGAAGTAAACTCAGTGTTGGACTTTTGGAGGAGCATGACACTGAAAATGGTGACAAAGGCTACCACACACCTGCCAGGTTGGCAAATAATATGGGACCTGAGCATTAATTCAAAAGTTAAATGTCAGGATATTCCAGAGCTTTCAGACTGGAAGTATAGCATTTGCTGATGATGCGACTGTAGTAATGAATAAACTAAGTTTCTTTTAAACCAACTGGAGAGCAGCACGCCAACATTGATCATAAGATCAAAAACTCTGGAACAGCAGTTAAATGGCCATATGAAGAAGAAAAGTGGACTTTGAAATAAATACAGACATGAAAATGTTACCAACCCTTACTTTTTCATTGCTTCTGTCCCAGCATTCATAGCAGTGGCCCAGGCTGCAGCATTGCTCCGCCCCTCGGTCACATGACCGGCTGCCGCAGTGAGGAACAGACTGTACAACTGAAATAAACTGAGCATTAGTACATGTGCTTGTGCTGATTAAGACAGAATACTGCAGTCAAACACCACTTGAATCAATAAACCCACCGCTCCTGAAGACCCGCCCATTTTCTCCTGCACCAATCCAGCAACGACTGATAACAGCTTCCCGGGGCAACCGGGGACCACATGTCCTTGAAGCCACTCCTGAATGGCTGAACAAGCATCTTCACTATTTTTACAAGTTCCTCTTTAAGCTACTGAAGATAGTAATCACAGTTTCTTACCTCTAGCAGCCTGAGCATGAGTATTACCACAGTCTCCATCCCCGGACGCACGATCAAGGGAATTGAGTTCCTCCTGCTTTTCCAACAGAGTGGAGCAAATCTTCTCCAAGGCTTTATGCATCACAGGACTAAGTGGTCCTGCCAAGAATAACAAAACAAACTTCCATTTAAAAAAGCCCAAACTATTTTATTAAGATATAGATCAGAAATTATATACTGGGCTAGAGAGTAAGAGTTAATGGATGTTATGTGTCCTAACTGGAATGTCCAATATGCCCTCTCTGACAGCACAATTTGTTGGTTTCCTTTTGTTCATCCTGTTTCAATTTCATGCAGGTAAACAAGTTTTAAACGTGTTCAATTATAAGCCTTGAATAAGTAATGCATTACAATAATTGATTGCAATACACATACACAAAAAGCTCATGAACTAACCTTCAGAGTGCTTCTCATCTTGTGGCCGTTTGAAGGTTGTTTGTGGTTCTGTGATGTAGCTGCGTCCACTCAAACACACATTGCTGAGGTTTGGCCAGGCAGGGGCAGTAGTCTTAGCATCTTGATGGGACAAAGGAGGTGTGCGTTTTTCATTAGTAACAAATTTATTTATCATATAAATCTGTGTCTCTGAACCCATATGAGAGTGCTTATTTGTGTGGTTCTATCAGAAGTTAATATTCACTCATCTTGGGGATGAAAGTCCTGCTAAGTTTGGATTTATGATTACTTTGAACCAGTCCTTTTCCAGGGTAGAATAATTGTTCAGCATAAATCTAATAACTTAATTTAAATCTAATGAGAAATCAAGAACTGGGTGCAAAAGTCTGAATTTATTTAAGAGAGAGATAAGATAAGACTTTATTGATGCCACAACGGGGAAATTTTTGCATCACCTCAGCTCAGGTACAGATATCAGAAGGAAATACAAAAATACAATAAGTACAATCAATGAAAAAAGGAAGATAATACACTGTATACAATGGTAGCATACACAGTATGTGATTATGGATATGGTTGGAAATATGCAAGACATAAACTATATAGCTTGATATAACTATTGTACCACTACTATTCCTGTTTATAGACATGTACACACACACATGTACACACTAAATATACATATGTATACATATACATACATATATACCTGCACATGTCCATACACATGGAAGGTCCATTATCCATGAAGTGGTGACCGTGGATGTTCAGTGTCCAGTGACTTATGACATCGTGATTTTTGGGTTGGGTTTGGGTATTTTGGGTTTTCACCCTCAGAGTAGCCATCAACAAGCTCCTGGCATAATTCTAGCATGATATTTGATCATTCTTCTTGGTAGAATTGGTGGAGTTCATTTAAATTTCCTGGTTTCCTGACATGGCCGCAGCTTTCAAGCTTACTTTTAGCCTGCTTTATCCATTTAAACAAATTTTTAAACCAACTGTGTCCAAGTTTCAACCACCTAGCTGTCAATTTGAAGGGAAGTTAAAGAACTTAGAAGTACTCCTTCTTCATTATTCCATCCACTTTATCCAATGTACCAGTACCACCAGTAGCAAAACACCCTCAGAGATGTCATAGTGTCATACAGTGTTTTAAGCTTTGAAAGCCTCACCTTTACTCCTCCAAACATCTCTCTGTGGCCAAACAGCTCAATCTTTGCCTCTTCTAATCATAAAGCATTTCTTCAGAAGGCATTTCAGTCAAGCTTGAAGATGTAAGTTTTGGCACAGGATCTTCCTTCTTGGGCTGTACCCTCTCAATCCATGAAGATGTAAAACTCGCTTCACTGTGGACAAACGCGCTGGTGTTCCAGCAGTTTCCAGTTTAGAACTCGCTTTGATGATTTCTGGGTTGTTCCTGAACATCCAAATCAGTCTCGTGAGGGTGACAGTGGGTCTTCCTCCAGACTTTGGCAAAGTGGTGACACAGCCTAATAACGTCAGCTAATGACCTTTGAATCTGAAGTTTTTTTGAAAACACCTCCAAGAGACCATCCCAACTTGTGTCATACATCACTCGGTTATCTTTCCTGCCCAGTAGTAGTTCCTCGCTTCAAAGATGCAGAAAGTAGGTACATGTTGGTGAATTTCACAGAGATTTCATGGTCTCTGCTCTCTACTTGCTGCTAGTCTCCTCCACTCCATAAGGGATTGTTCAGACATATGACTTTCAGACTTGAACACTCTCGCACCACCAGGAGTGGAGCCTGTGGCTTAATTTGACTCAACACGGGAAACCTCACCCGGCCCGGACACGGAAAGGATTGACAGATTGATAGACCCTCTGGGTCAGACTTGTTTTCACATCTTGCCTCATGTGATTAGGTAGAGGATCAATAGGGGGTCCATGACCCTCTTCGGGGGACACTCACATAGGGCTTAAAATCTATGACTCTCCACCAGGTGCTCTTAGAACCAAAGAAGCCTCTCGGATGAGAAGTGAAACTTCTTCAAGGAAACTCCAAGAAGTCCAGATGCTTTTCTTTCCAAGCTCTTTAGACCACTGGATTAGTTGTTTGCCTCGTGGTTTTCATGCCAAAGAGCTGACTGACTGGTTGCTGCTGCCATGTCGATCATGTAAGCATTCACTTTGAAGCTTCTGAAGTTTGAAGTTCTGAAGCTCTGAATACACTGTGATGTTATGACAAAGGCCCTCACAAGTTTAGAAAAACAAAGCTATGTGTTTGAACACTTACCTATCAGCCTCAGTGTTTCCTTGTCAGCCCTCATCAGGGTCAGCGACACTCCTGCCATCTCCAGAGAGGTCATGAACAACCCAGACATCACCCTGGCAACCACCACTCCAAGGCTTTCTATAAAAAACACCAATCATATTCCAGATTATCGAATGATCGTGCTGTTCCCCCACCCACCAAAACCAGCCAATCAAATCACATCTGAGCTCATGCTAAGTGCTAATAAAAAATGTTATTCAATAGCATTCATTAACGTTCCACTGTGGTTTCTTTTAGTTAGTCTAGCTACTCACAAAAACTGCCATTCATAAGCTATGAAAAATAAAAGAGACAAGGTTATGTTTTACATGGACGATATTTTAGCTCACAGGGTGTAGTGAGATGCAGGTATTTATTTCCCTGTATATTAAAGTTAAAATGGTGATCATGTGAGAGAAGCACAGTAGGACCCAGCTAAGTATGGTTAAATGCTTACCTCACACACACACACACACACACACACACACACACACACACACACACACCCAGGCAGATGATGGCCGATCTAGTCACCACAGCCATCTCTAGGCAAGACAGAGCTCCAAGGTTGTTCACGCACACAACCACACTGTCTCCTGTAGGAAAGAGGGAAAAAACACACACATGGAGAGCAGCCGTACTAACGGTCAGCATGATACATGATCGATGTCATTTAGTGAACCTGATTTCAGCGGCAGATGCGATTGGCTGCTTGGGTTGGTCATGTGGTCTATCATGGTCTTGACCACCTCATCAGCAGAGGCCACCTGAGGGAGAAGATCAACAGAAACTGAGCCATACAGCCTGATGGTAAAAGCACATTCAGGCTGTTAAGGTTAAAATCCGACTCACCTTTGACCTCTTTATTCCAGGTTCCCCGTGGATACCTGAAAATAGAAAGAAAACACTGGCTGTTATTTCATTTTCGTCTCCTGTGCTCTCGCCATCTGTGCATCTTTAGAAGAGTTTCCATCATTTTCTCAGCTTTTACAAGTGAATTTCCTCCAGTTTTATGAATTGAATAGAAAACTCCACTCAGATTAAAGACACCCAACCCATTTAACATGCTGAAATTCTGACATCCCCATCTCCCCATTTAACTGAATGAATTCTTTGGAAACACTATTTTATGCTTCACTTAAACCATTTTGCTGCTCTTAACTGCTCTTGCACACCACTAGATGGTGCAATTCAGTCATTTTCTCTAAAATATCACTAACATGATGTCACATCTGCAGAGAAAGTCAAAGATGGAGATTGGCCATTCTAACGATGATCTGGTTTTAAATCATTTGTCACAAAAAAAAAAGTAAAAAGTATTCATTAGCTCGGGTGGAAGTTTAGTTCTGGAAATAAAAGTCTAGATAACTGGTGTCAGCCCAAAAGGCTGCTCTCCATATTCTGCCACTCTCTTTCTCCTGCTCTCACAACTCCACCTTTTCCATCCTCCTCTAATCATCCCTCACCCAGCCCGACCTCCATGTCTCCTGGCGGTAGATCGAAGGAAGGCAGGCAGCCGGGAACGCTGCATGGAGACAGACTCACCCCCAGAGTGCCTGGAGTAAAACAGAAACATCATTAAGAAAAATATTCCAGTGTTCCCAGAAAGTATTAAATGTATTAAAAAA